CTCCTGATGCCATCGGCACCCACGTATCTGTCTGTCTGTCCGTCCCTGAGTCAGCGCCTCCACACACGGCCAGCCCACCGCAGCCTCTCTGACTGGCCCGCAGGGGTCACCGCTCACTTCTTCCTGCTTCCGGGCGGACGCCCTGGGTCCCAGCCACTGACCCCTGACTCCCCTGCACTGAGCAGCCTGCCCTCGGGCCCCACAGGTGCCCGCCCGGGAAATAAAACACTGGTGACGTACGGAGCGGCCGGTGCACTGTGTGTCATTTCTGGGCGCCCAGCCCCCATCCTATCCAGCGCAGAGGGGAGGCCTCCTGTGCGAGGTGCCCCCATAGCTCTCAGGTGACACCTGACAGCTGGCCCTGCCCTGCAGGCAGGGGTGAAGGCTAGCACCCAGTGCCCCAACCCCGTCTGTCTGTGCCCCGTGTGTTTCCTGTCTGCTTTCTCAGGTGTTGGGCACCAGGGCTGTCTCCCAGGGCACCCTGAGCACACTCGAGCCCCGAGCTTTTCAGCCGTCAGTGGGGTGCTGGCCAGCTCACCCTGGTGGCTCTCCCAGCTCCATCGCTAAGTCTTCATTCATCATCCAGCCTTCCCTCCCCACCTGTCCCAGCTGCCATTCAGTCCCTGGGAACCCTTTGGCCCCTGCAGTCACCTTGGGAGCAGCACCCCAGAGGGCTGGACACCCTCCTCCTCACCAGCCCCCCACAGGACGGGCAGGGTTCACCGAGGGCCGGGACACGCCAAGAAGAAGAGTGTGGCCGGCAGGCCAGGCCGGGCGGTGGCCGTGGTTCTGCTGACAGTCCATCCTGCAGGTGGGGACCCCCTGGAGCTCAGCCCCTGTGGGGTCCTCACAGCCCATCCTGTGAGCCGGGGCCCCCTGGAGCCCAGGCCCAAAGAGCACTTTCAGGAGACGCTCTGTCCCCCATGAGGGATTGAGGAAGCCCTCCCCCTGCACTGGCCTCAGAGGACACAGTTCTGTCCCCAGGTGTCTTCCGTACATGTCCTGGTCCCTGGGGGCCGAGCCCAGCCCCCCCCACCCCCACCCCAAAGCCACACTCATAGCTGCTGGCGCTCATGTCCCACATCAATGCCCAGACTCCGGTGAGCCTGGCCTGGGGCACATGCAGTGTGTGCCCAGCCTCGACCTGTGGCAGCGACCCTGGTGCCCGACCTTCCTGGGAGGCCCCTCAGGGCCACGGAGGTTGGGCAGGTGATGACCGCCCTCCTGTAGGATGACCGGGCTGTCCCTCTGCTGGTGGTGCAGCCCATACTGCTACAAGGCCGTCTCTGGTCAGCCCCCATCTAGTCCGTCCCTGACGGGGACCTCAGGCCCCAGCCATGCAGCGCCCATCCCGTACATGCAGGCCCACAGCAGTGTAGGCAGTCATTCTCTACACGCCACTCCACTCTGGCGGGCCACCCCCTGCTGTCACATGACAGTACAATGTGGACGGTGAGCACACGAGGTGGGGGGGTGATTGTATTACAGTACAGAAGATGATTACTTACACTTCATTAGGGATGCTCATCACAGGGTGTGACAGTACAGCCCTGTAAGGAGTGTGATCACATTCCATTACGGAACATCATTATATTATAGAGCAGTGGTTCTCAACCTGTGGGTGGAGACCCCTTTCACAGGGGTCACCTAATAAATACATCCTGCATAGCAGATATTTACATGATGATTCACAACGGTCGCACACTTACAGTGATGAAGTAGCAACAAAAATGGTTTTAAGGTAGGGGGTCACCACAACATGAGGAACTGTATGAAAGGGTTGCGAGCCACTGTCTTAGGGTCATGACCCTGCATTATGTCACAGAGAC